ATCTCAGACACTCTGACAATGCAGAAGATTGTCCAGGAGCCTGTGGGGAGCCAGGGCTGGAGGCAGCAGAGCCCCCAGAACTGCCCCACACTGCTGCAAAGTCATTAATGACTTTGTTGCTGCAAGAGCTGCCTTGGGCAGAGGAGGTCACATTGCACCCAGCTGCTGCCTCCTGCTCCAGCCGGTGCAAGGGCACATTGGTTGAGCCAGAGCTTGTGCAAAAGCTTGTGAGGGAGCAGGGAGTGCCTATGAATTTTGCAATCAGCTGGCAGTGTGTTTTCTGTATTTCTGTGTTAGGGTGAAACACCCAAATGCCCTTGCCAATAGCCCTCTCATGGACATCAGTGGCACCACACCCAAGCACAACCTACTTCTTTTAGGATGCAAGTTAGCTCTTTTGTCTTATTATAAGAATTATTACTAAGGAAAGGAAAAGCAATAAGGGGCTTGTCAATATTTGTGTTTTTTCTCCATTATTTGCACAGCCAGATAGAGGGTTTCATTATAGAGGGTTCTGGAGCAAGTTCGGACTGAAGGTTGTGCTGAGGGTTGGATTTCTTGTCCCCATTTAGGTTGACAGCTCTGGGAGGAAAGGGCATATGCTGCAAGAAGAGTCCTCGGCTACTCTGAAAGTCCAGAAAACTCTGCCTTGGCAGCACGTTTCTGGGAAAGGCATTTGGCGCAAGTACTGAGTAGGTATTTTGTGGCACATTTTGCCTCCGTGATGTTTACCCAGTGCCTTTCCGGTGGCAGGGGATGGGGTAGAGTGCCCCAGCACAGGGTGAGGTGATATGCCTGGTTGTGGTTTAGCACAAAAATAAAATGCTGAACGATGGAACACGCTCAAACAGGAAATCACTTATTTCCTTGCACAGCTGTTATGACAGCAATGTTGATCTTCCCTAGCTGAAAGAAAAAAAGTTCAACGAAAATAAGGCCTGATTCCTGTATGGATGAGTTGTCGCCTCACTCTGGAAGGTGGTTTTCTACAGCCCCTGTGCACAGAGCATCAACCATGCATGCTGCCAGAGGTAGACAGCTGTACATTTATCTTCCTTTATCTACAAGATGCACAGCCCTGAGTAAGGAAAAAATAGTGATTTAATTCTATTTAGTTGAACCCAGTAAGAAACAAGGAGGGACTTTCCAATAGCACTTGAGGCAGTTTCATTTCCATTGCCCTTGAGACAGAAATTTATAGTCCTGTCACTTGAGGGCAGCTGCTTGCACTCTTAACTCCTGTGCTGCCTTTGGGGAAGAGGGTAATAGTCTTCAGTGACCAAAAAATCTTCTCTGGTCATTTCATGTGGGAAAACTTAGGATTTCCTGGCACCAGAATTGGGTCAGTTGTAATTTTCACTGCAGTCGTCGTGATTCCTCTGAGAAAGATGCTACGCTTTCTGCTCAGCCCACTGGCAAAAAGGACAAACCTCATCTTGGCAGATATGTGTTTGTTTCTTTTTTCCCTTGCAATTTGCTCTCCCTGTGTCGCCGAGAAAAGAAAAGACAAAAAGAGCTATTGTTTCATCAACCTTTTCTCGAGCACTGCAGGCTGTTTTTAACTTTTGAACAAAGTGGGAGTAGGGAGCATTTGGGAAGTTGTGTGGCAGCAATTGACTGTAGAGGAAAATCAATGCTCCCCATCAAACCAGTTCAATAGTCTTGTGTGCATCCCCAGCTGTTTTGTTTCCAGATGCTACGTTTTGCTTTAGTAACGTTTCCAGTTGTCATTATCAACCTGAGCTCTGTGTTTTACCTGCAAATGTTTCAACTTCATCAACATATTAACAGGCTCAGGTTAATTCACCTTCTTTAAAATGTGTGGAAAAGGAGACCTGCACCAAAGAGTTGGGGATTCCTTGTGAAATGGCATACAAGAGACTGAGCAATGAGGTACAGGCAGCAGTAACGTGCATCTACTGACTCGATGGGACCTATGTCTGATTTATAGTGATTTATATGAGACCAGAGTCAGGCACAGCCACCCTGGGGGTTTTCAGGCCCAGGAGGACAAAGCCTTGTGGCTGAGATGGTGCCTCTGTAGCTGCCACATGCCTTGGACTCACAGTCTCCGGGGTTTGTTTGGCAACTGCTTTGCAGTTCCCTGCCTTGCTCATGGAAGCAAAGGATGAAGCAGCAGCAGCATCCCCACCTCCTCCAGGGTTTCCTTTTCTTGTTTAAAAATAGGTCTTTTCTTGAAAAAACATCCTATTTGTTCCTTTTTGTCTGCATGGTATCTCCTTCTCCTTTCCTTGAATCCCTCCCAGCCATACCTGCCCTCCCACGTTAAGCCTGTATGTGCCACAGTGGCCTTGTTAGATTTATGGGCAGTGGCCAACCCGTGCTGGCTTGTTTTCCAGGAGGCTGCCACAACCCCCGGACTTGTCCTGGTGGCTCCCTGCCAGCACTGGGAGCTTCATGAAATCCCTCCCTGCGACTGTGCCCACCACAAGCGTGCATCCCGCTGCTCAGTCCAGCCGTGGAAAATTTGCTTGCATCCCCTTGCAAACAGGGCAGCTCATAGCCAGCGACTACCTGGGTTGGTGGACACATGTCTCCTGGAGCAGAGGCACATCCATACATTTCTAACTAACTGCTACCAAATTCAGCTTAGCCTCAGCAGTATGAAGTTGCCCAGCAAGACTGAGCCACACTTTGACCTTCCCCTGCCTGAAATCACTCCTCTGGGGCTTTAAAGTCCATCTACTTTCATTAAAAAGAAATGTGATCAGGGAGGGACCAGTGTTGCACTGCAGCAGTGGTGACGAATGACATGGTGATGTGCATGACGCAGGGACTGTCTTGTGCACTTGCTGTGCAGTCATTTGTGCTGCCACACGCTCTCCAGGGGAACCCAGTGGTGAGGATGGTGGTGGCAGCGTCTCCGCCAGCTGGCTGTCGGCTGGGGACCGGTTACCCAGCCTGGGAACACAGAGAGAGAGAGATACCATCCCCTACCCTCCTGCCCACAAGTGCCCCAGCACAGGAGTGAGGAGGCAGGTAAGAAACCTGCTTGGACCATAATGGGATGTGGGGAAAGTGCTCACAGAATGACATGGCCCTTCACATAACCGAGGCTGTAGCTAAAAACGCTGAGATTGATTGATACCGGCTTCTCCCACAGTGCACATCCCATCCCATAGTGCCAAGTCAGACGAGCAACCTAGCTCTAACATGCTGCTCAACCCAGCCATGAAGGCATCCGGTTGTGACCCTTATGTCAAAAGACATGTATGTGCTGTTGTGCGCACGGGATTACTCCAGCAGGTCCCAGCATCCAGGAATCAACACCAGCCTGAGAGCGAACCCACCACTGAGTATGAAGACTTCACTGCAGAGGTGCAGCACAGACTCAGGATTGCACTGGTGGGGACATCCTCATATTTTGTTGTCCTTTGAGGAGGACAAACCCAGTCTTTTGCTCCAGGAGATGTCAACTCTGGCTCTTGGCAAGATGAATTTCTAGATCCTAACTAGAGGGTTCCTATGTGGGTTTCTACCTAATTTCTTTTGTGCTTAGTAGAGGTTACGAAGTATTTCCCTGTAGAAGGCCTCATAGACCTACCGAGAGAAAATGCCCCCAAAAAGCAAGCAGGCAGGGGCTGCTCAGGCGGTATTACGGTCAAGAGGCAAAGCTGGGTGTGATACACTGTGCCTGTGCCACGGGGCTACAGCTGAGCACCCTCTGCAAGCCCAGCACTGGTTTCTAGTCTCAGAAACTTAAGCAGATCAGCCTCAAAGCTGCTAGTTGGGTCTGGAGTCAAGGCAACATTTTTTATACTAGTTTGGTTGTCAAAATAAATATTCCAAATAAATAGTCAAAATAAAGATAGTCCTCAAAAGAAATCAGTTCCATCTAACAATAGAGAAGTTCAGAAAGCTGGACGGGGATAGTTATTTAATAGATTCCTCCAGTTCAGTTGCTGAAATAAACTTTCTTACCATGTTTTTATAGAAAGCAAAACCAAGTTAAATAAAATACAATTTCATACTATTGCTATTTGAACTGGGGCTATAGCATGGGCTGGATGTAGGACTGCACTAGACATCCCAGGTGGCAGGCAATGCTCTGCAGAGCTGAGGTCAGGCTCATCTCCCAGGCTGGGTGCTGTGGTGGCCGCTGGGCAGGAGCTGGGCTAGGCTTCCCGCCTAGCACAGTGAAGCCCAAGCCTGAAGGGACCACACCAGCCTAATGTACAACTGTTATTATTTCTTCCACACCAGAGGTGGGCAGGACAACCCATAGATACATAGAACACAAGCTGACATTGACTTGGCTTCAATGGCATTATTTTGGGCTGCAAAATTACATCATTCGGGCTGTTCTGCTCCTCTGGGCGCCTGCCAGCGTGCTGTAGGTGGCTGGGGGACACCCAGGCCCAAGCTGGGGTGCCCAGGGTCCGAGTTTCACCCCTCCCACCACCCCACTGGCTGCCTTGGGAGCTTTGTGACTCCTGGAGGGTGAGGATAAGCCTCCAACAGCCCAGCCGAATCCTTCCCCTGCAACTCCCAAGGACAGTGCCAGCAGGAGCTGGGAGACAGAGACTCCCCATCACCAATGAAATCCCAGGTGATGGGAGAAGCTGCTGCATCACCCCAGGTCTCGGTGGGAGGACACGTCCCTCTTGCCCGCTGTGGGGGACGTTGGATCCCCCCCACCCCTCAAGCCCTGGGTGCAGGTACAGGCACTTGCCTGATCTAGCTGTTTGGGCACTGTGATTTTGGGTGACTCTCTGAGCTAAGCTCTGGGCGCCGAGCTAGCGCGGCTGTACCAGAGGCTATGGAGACAGTTGATGAGCATCCACCAGCGGTATTGTCCATCAGGAGGAGGACACTGGGCTTTGGTGTGAGCTCAGTGCATAGATAAACTAATTACCAGGTAAAATGCCTACTAGAAGAGAATTAGGAACCGCATGATCCAATGATTGATTAATTAAATGTTTATTAAAGGCATCCCTGGTTGACGCTCTTTGGGTTTGGACTGGATTTACTCCAAAAGCTCCAGAGACTCACATTTTTTATGGCGGTGAATTTTTTATGACCCTTGAATTATCTGTTTCAGATGTAGAAAAGCCTTCAGATTTCTCTCTCTCTCCATTATATTTATTAGACATGTTTAAGCATAATGCTTAAACATAACATAAACACTTAAACATAATGCTGATTCTTGGCTATTGTTAATCACACATAGCTCTATGAACTTAAAAAACCTCGCGATGCCCCTTTATTCCTGGCTATTCAGGAAAATGTTAGGCTAAGCAGCAAGGAGGCAAAAAAATAAGCGATGGGTGATTTTTTGAAGAGCAGACATTAATTCCGGATAAAGTAGCCTCATGCCCAGCTGCCAGGGAGAGCAGTTCGGAGATGATCAACTGAGAGAAGGAATGGTTTTGTCTTTCTGGGTTTCAAACAGATACATCTCTTCCTCCAGCTGGGGACCTGAGCAAGGGCAGGTTTGCACTGGGTATACACTGCCTGGTATTAAAATGTTGTTTCAGCCCTAGGAGGATAGAAATCAACAGCAGCAGCTCTCAGGAGGACTTGCAGCAGGATGCATTGTCAAGAAACGAGGAGGAAAGACAGGCCACTTAGTGTCTTCTCTAACAAACACAATCCAGCATGTTAATTTGGTACTTAGGAATTTGAATGAGAAGGGCACAGCTGCACACAACCCGCTTGGTTGCAACCCTGGTGGATTATGAAATGTGCTGTGCAAATATGTCATTATTGTTGCCTTTTTGGCCCTAAGCCGCAATAAAAGATATCTGAGATGAGCCATAGTTTCATGCCTTTGGTGTGCCATGGGGCTTAAGGCCAAAGGCAACATCATTTCACCCAGCCGGGAATCACATTAGTACCTTGCCAGTGCAGGCTCTGGAGAGTGTTATTCCAGGATGAATTCTTCCTTTTTTGTTTTGGCCTTAAACATCCCACTTTTTCCAAAATTAGAATGAATGTAATTGGTTTTGTGTGCTTTCTCTGGTGCAGAAAGTAGGGAGAAAAAAAAAAGGGAAAAAGACAGTTTCCTCACCTATTTTTAATTATTTCCTTTGGTTTCCCTCACCCACCAATTATTCCCAATGTATTTCCTGGACAAAAATACCTTTAACAGAGGGCAGAATCTTGGCTGGAGCTTTATCTTGCTCTAAACATGCCTCACAGTAGTTCCAGCTCAGAATACTTTATTTTGGGGGTAAAAAGCAGAAAAACAGTAATAAGTCTTCTAAGGCTAGTTAGCGTTGGTTAGCAAGACCATGTGCCTTTAGCTTAATGTTTGCTCTTTTTTTCATTAGACATCTTGCACTACCTTTGGTGAAGAGGGGGAGAGCCAGAAATGGTTCACCTGTTGCTTTGAACCTGCGCTATTCTGAAAACGGAAAACAAACCCATCAAATAGGGGCAGATCAGTAAAACAAGTACAAACAAGGGCAACTCAACATCGCCCCAGGCCTCCCTGCGCCGCATGCAGGTTCAGGCAAACCATGCGATGGCTGTGTCCCAGCTCCAAGGTGCTGGGAGAAAATAGTCATGAGGCAGAAGGGGCTTCCTGATTTCTAACTGACATTATTTTTGCATCAGTGTACTAGACATATTTATTTTGTGTGCAGCTCTTCAGATGAGGTAATGGCTGCATGCTAGCCTGTCCAAATGCAGAGTTCATGCTTTGCCTGACCATGGTCATAGCTGCCGGTCAGGGAGTAATTCGAGCCCATTTCGGAAGAGATACCTGTAAAGAAAGCGATGCCATTGCACAAGGTCGGCAGTTTATTCTAGAGCACAGGTATGAAGTCTCACCCTCCCGGTCCTCACCTACCATGCAGCTTTCCTGCCAGGGCTGCTTATCAGTCTCCTCCTGGGAGGGGGTGAACTTTCCACTCCCCAGAAATCCAAATTTCAAAGCTGTTGTGAACTGATGATTACAATGTGTTTTACATTATGTCAGTTTAAACATTTTGGTTTTAAATAATGCAAAAATACTTACTTTTTATTTCAATTCTAATTATGTTTTATTATTAATTTTTTCAATTTTTTTAAATTCTATTTTTTTTAACTCCCAACTGTAGATAAACTTCATATTTGAAGAGTTATGCTGACAAACTCAGCATTTCAGCAGTTCTAAAACTTTTCTAACCAGCTATCAAATGGACAGATTCACTGAAACCAAGCCTTTCTGCAAACTGTTCTGGTTTTAGCAAACTGGCATTTTTTAAGGAAAAATATGCTTCACAGGAGAAATTCCAGTTCTCTTTGCCCAAATTATTGTATAAAGGCTTTCATAACACTCAAAGGTCAGTTTGTTTTCTTGGAGAAAGCAAGCTCATATTTTCTTCCACTCTCCTCCTCTAACTCAAAAGGAAATAAAAATAGATAAACATTCCCCTTTTGGTAGTAGAAGTGCCATTTTGTACTTCTGTAAGCACTTTATACATTTGAAGCACCATAGAAAAAGTAATTAAGTAGCATAAAACTTCTGTGGTTGAGCTGGTGAACCTGAAGCTGTGGAAACACTGAAGTCCCAAGGCTGAAACATCTCACGCTTGCTGGCTTGCAGAGGTCGTTGTCGGCCACCAGGCTGCGAGGAGGTCCAGTGTCCTGCGGCTCCGCACAGGGTCACTGGGTCGGTGGCTGTGCTTCGGTCGGCAGAGCCCTGCCAAGGCTCCCAACGTGCAAAAATCATAGAACCATAGAACCATAGAACCACAGAACCATAGAATCATAGAATCATAGAATCATAGAATGGTTTGGGCTGGAAGGGACCTAAAAGATCATCTAGTTCCAATCCCCTGCTATGGGGAGGGACATCTTTCACTAGACCAGGTTGCTCAAAGCTCCATCCAACCTGGCCTTCAACACTTCCAGGGATGGGGCATCCACAACTTCTCTGGGCAACCTGTTGCAGTGCCTCACCACCCTCATAGTGAAGAATTTCTTCCTTATATCTAATCTAAATCTACCCCCTTTCAGTTTAAAGCCATTACCATTAAATCCCAAAGCTTACCTTGAACTTGGGGATCTGCTCAGATGAAATCAAGCTCTCCTGCCCCCGGATTTACCCTCAGTTTTCCAGAGCCAGAATTTTGTCCTGGCTGGAAACCTTGCTGTTCTGACAAGGTCCTAAAGGTCAGCAGCGCTCGCCCACCTGGCAGCCCTGCATCCCAGCCCATGCTCTGCTGGGGCCACGCCACTTACAGACAGCCCAAGTAATTCATCTCTTCTGAGCATTGCCCTGGTTGCAGGAGGTTGTCTCTGTTTAATGAGTGTTAAATTCTGGCGTAGACGAAGGAAGACGCAGTTTTAGCACAGCACGGGCGGCATTAGGGGAATCCTGCAGGTAATTCTGCAGGCTTGATGTGAAGTTATAGCTGTGTCTTATAGCTCATTCAATTAATTATTGCTTCTTTATTCAATTATGAGGGGTCAGGGTCTCTGTACTTTAAGATAAGAGATGATGTAAGGCACCTTGTGTGTAATGCAGCAGGGCAAGCAGGAGACGAGCAGGCAAGAGGGAGATAACCAAGCTGCCCCTTTCAGAGGGCAGTGTCTGCTAATGGTGCCCAGCTGCCAGATGTAGGTGTTTGCAACAAGCGATGTGTTAATGCTGGGAATGGTGTAGGATATGCAGCAATGATCCACTGTGAGACCCTTCACACTGAAACCACGGAGTCACCAAAAGGCGTGTGTGGGCATTATATTTCTTGCTTTAAGCAAGACTGTGTTTGCTTGCGAATGGGGCACAGGAGATGACATCCAAGCTTACAGACAGACTCTGCCTGCTTAAGGAAGCGGTCAGGTCAGTTTAAGGAAGACTGTCTGGACTTTTCCTGGGTACATGCTTATTCTCCTGCATTTTGGAGGAACAACCTGGAGGGCATTTCCAAAACTGTTGTTGATGCCCTGGATTGCTGATGCTCTGGGGAGGTAAATTGCTCAGAAAATGAGTATCATTTACTGGGTACGTAGGGTCTGCTCAGCCCCTCACTGGAAGCTCAGGGTATGTGCTCCTTCCCACTCAGCATGTTCCCAGCAGAAAAGTCGCAAGTCACAAACAACTGAAAATAGCAAAATGATCTCATAGATCAGTTGCTAAAAATACGGAGAAGAGTCTAGTTACAAACACTGTGGCCGGGTGGTTTGTTATTCACCCGGCAGAGGAAGGCGTCAGAGAATCCTGGATTCTTCCACTTTCAAAATCATTTTTCCTTTCTGGTGTTACCTGCTGCCCTTTCTTGACCGGCAGCAAGCTGACACTGAGCCCGTTAGCGAGGATCTTATTCAGAAGGAAGCGCCAATGAACGAAGCAAGAATAGAGCACATCTCACGTGGGCCACTGGCTCTGCCAACACTGCCCATCACCCAGGGGTGCCCTGTCCCGAGCCTGCACCAACAGGAGGGAAAAACCTCACACCCTGTCCTGAGATGGCAGACGTCTCCCCAGGGGAAATAATCCCTATACAGACACAAGGCAGCTGCAGTGGTTTTGACTAGAAGCCTGATGCTGCCTGAAGACCTGACTTAGTTTTGACCTGAGGCTGCTTACTCACCTTCAGGACTTACCTGGAGCCAGGAGTGGAGTCGCTCCAGGGGCTGCTCCTTGCTCATGCAGGACTGTGGGGACAGAGAGGTTCCTCCTGGGAGCAGCATCCAGGCAGCAACTGCTGATGGAGAGGACTCGCTGCAGGGCCCAGGATGGCCTGGACATGCCACTCGGCTTTGGCTTGACATCTTCAGGGAAGCAGCATGCTCAAAGTGTGCTCAGCTGGCTCCAGCTCAGTTCCTTCCCTCTCACCTCCGCTTGGACAGGTGTGATAGTAAAGGCAATGTGTGTTTTAGCAAGTTACAGCCAAGATTTTGAAGCTGAAAGGTCACTAGTGAAAGCTATACAGTCCTCGTCTGTGCTTAACAGGATGCCCACAGCAGTGCCTGTCCCTCTGGCTTTTCTTAGATGCAGACAGAGGGATCTGGTGTCCTTGGAGCAGCCATTTCCCTACAGACTCCCTTGGTCTGTACAACTTTGCTCTCCCCTAGCTTGCAGCTAGGCTGACCTGGAACTCAGTTTTGAAACACAAATGCACCTTGTGCATTGTGTTGGACACAATGCATGGACAGCTTGGCCTGGCGGGAAGCACCTTGTGTGCTAAATGATGACTGCCCATCCCTGCTCACACCTAACTGAGCAGGAGCAATGTGGAAGAGGAAAATGCACTTCATACAAAATCCTTTTTTTTTCCCCAGGGTATGCTGGGCGTTTGAGGGGAGTTTCCTCTTCGCTCTTGGTTGTTTTGCTGACAGTTACTCCCCACCTTCTTCTTGACATGATACTTCTCTGATCCAGGTCTGTGTTGTATCTAACTCAGCAGTTTAAATTTCATCCTGCCATCAGCCACACATTCACTCTGGAAATGCTAATGCCACAGTGGCCTCTCTGGCCCCAGGGGCTGGGAGGACAGTGTGGCAGCTCCACCAGAGGGTAGAGGAGAAGGGGGGAGACCGTGGGGTTGCTCCATGTCAGTGGCTGTCCTGCACAGCTGAAAACCACACCAGGCAGAGCGCTCTGCTACCCCACGGGGGATCTCACAGCCCCTAGGGAATTGCACGTTGAGGCTGCAGTGGGTATGTGAGTGCTTCTGTAGAAGATGAAAACTCCTGGCTCCCAGCGCGCAAGCAGGGCTGGAGGAACCCACGGAGGCAACCAGGGCAGGCTCTGGGAGGTGTATTATGGTGCATTATCTCTGTTGCACTACAGATAATCCCAAAAGACAGCACATATTTATGTCTGAGCTGCTCTAAAAATGCACAGGTTCCTCTCCCAGAAAGGTCTGTTGTCAAGTCCTGCCTGAAGCAGTTCAGTCTTTGAGCTCCTCCCTTCATGGAAGACCTGCTCTCTATGCAGTTACCTGGCACCTGCAAGCTTGGGAAAGGCTGGGACTTTCTTCTCCAGACCCTTATGGAGACCTGTTCTGCAGGAAAGCCCAGTGTCAGTCAGATGCAGCACACCACCTCGCCTGCTGGGTGGTCCCGTTACTGACAGTGGCTATCCCACCCCTGTGCCCACAGCATCCCAGCACCCCAGAGCCCTGCATCCCTTTCAAACAAAATTCCTAAGCTTGGGTGATGGCATTGCTGGCTTTCCTTGAAATACAAGCAGACCCCAGACTCATTCTTCTATGGCCATGTGTGCATTACCTTCAGGAAATCAGTCCTGACAGAAAACCACCTGGGCCCTCTTGTGTGCATGACTACCACTGGCATAACAGGGGCTGGGGACTGGCTGCCCTTCCCATCGGAGAGCAGGTATCACCGGCTTGCCCTGGACCATGTGTATCTCAAGAAGTTGAGATACACTCTCAACAGAGTGTACAGAGAGAAGCTCTCCTTTAAAAATGTTGTTCCTTTACTGTCTTTTCCTACCTCATCAGCATTGCTCACTGTTTTGTGGTAACTTTTGGCACATAAACATGGATGAACACTACATTTATGTTCATTTCAGAAGCTTTTAAATGTTGCTGGAGCAGCATGTTGGGGACATATCGTCAACTAGACTTAGGTCCACCACAGCTATCTTCTACCTTCTTTATCAGTAAAGTACACAGGTTTTAATTTCATAGATATATAGATATATTTCATAGAAATATAGCTGCAAGCTGCATGATCATCTGCCAGTTCTGCCTGGGCGCCGAGTGCCTCCAAGTGCCCTGACCTGCCTCATCTGGGACCTCCCCTCACCCCCAAGCCCATGGCCCAGGAGCCCCACTGCAGCTCAGCTGCAGCCCCAGTCTTGTGGCTCAGCAAGTTTGGTCCAACACAGACAATTGCCCAGGGACGGATGAGCTGCCAGGTCTGGGCTGTGCTGGGCAAGACAGTCCCCAGGGTGACGGTCCCCACCTCTCGCATGACTACCTAACACACAAGTCCCACTTCTCCCCCAGGGCTGTGTTTTCTCCAGCCAAATATTCCCAGCACATTCCTTACCTGAAGGTATTTCCTTTCGTCATTAGGAATTGCAGTAGAAACCAGGATTTGGCCGGCAGCACTTCCTGCTCAAAGCTAAAGGGAGATGAGATCCTAAATGGAGAACATCTATAACCTTTCAGTTCAGAGCACTTTACTGGCTAGTAGTGACAAAGGGATCTGAATAGGGCTGGTGTCTTTTTAATGATGGGATTGCAGGTCTGTTGAATAAAGAAAACCATCGTAATGCAATGTCAATTCCTCCAAGGCATTAGTACAGCACTGTATTTGGTTTTAAAAAATTGTGCAATATGGAATTACCAGATAATTAACTACGTGGATTAAAAACTGGTTCTTTCACTGATCTCAAAATATTGATCACTGGGAGTCACCAATAAGCATGACCACGTTTGGCAGCGATGCCAAAGGGCTGGGGTCTTTTTGCCCCAATTCAGTTTGTTCATCGGTGAACTAGACAATGACATAAAACTTCTGCTGATAAAGTCTGTGGAAGACATGTAAATTGGAGGGTAATAAAGAGGGACAAAGACAGGTTACTGTTATGCAAACCTGACTTGCCTGGTCACAGTCCCATGACATCCACTGGCAGGTAGCTAAATATCAACTTACACAACACCAGAGACAGATGTGCAAACTGTCTTGGCAAGCAATAATTCAGAGACAGATTTAGGAGTAATCATAGACGATCATTTCAGCATAAGCTGCCAGTCAGGTGGTAGCTGAAAAGGCTGCTTACACAACCCTTTCACATATAAAATGAAGCTATCAGGAAGAAATAGGGCAAGGATTCCTGTACTCAGAGTTTGTGAAAGATCATAGCCCATGAAAGATCGCTATTAGAATGCCTTTAGTCTTTATGGACATTCCCTTCTATAGATATATACACATCTATATACATCTGTCTATTCATATATAGATAGTTTGCATGTTTGTGTGTGTAAAATATATATGTATATATACGTATATTTATGTGATCCCTGTACAGCCAGTATATGTAAAAGACTAACTGCCGGTGGTCACTTCACGCCCAGCAAATATGCCAGAGGCACCGCGGTAGTTTCAATATACCCTCATTTCAAGTATAGAGATGACCAGGTTTATATATCTATTTTTTCAGGACATGAGACATGCCCACAGAGCCTTGCATGGGGGTCTAAAACAAATAGCTCTTTACTCAGATAGCGTAAGACAGATATTTAGACAAAATAAT